AAAAATGTTGACTGACGGACGGACCTTCGTTTCATGAATATGTATGCACATACCGAATTTCATTTGATTCCTTGATTCTAGTTTTTAGAGTGTTTACGAGCAATTGATGTTGATAGAAGTACTTACTGTATAGAGGTTAAGGGGCGATAACTCATCAAAAGCCTTAAATTTAATCAGAAGTAAACTTAACTTACAATAACATCCAAAATTTCATCAAAATCGGTTGAATACTAAGAGAGTAATAGCATATTCAAGATTTTGGGGCAAGGGCAATAACTCTGCTTCTAACGGTCGAAAATAGCTCAAATTCGAACTTGATCTTCGTTTTACTATGTATACACATACCTAATTTCATTTGATTCCCTCAAAAAATCTAGTATTTAGAGCGTTTACATGCAAATATTGACGGACGGAAGGACGGACGGACAGGGGTGCCGACATTATACGTCCACATAGAGAGATGTGGGCGTATAAAAAGGGCGCAAGGTCGATTTCTGTTTTCCAAATAAAAGGCACGCGATGTGTTGAAAGGGAGAAATTGAATAGAGTACAGAGAGGTGAACAAAGCTCAGATTTGATATTTTGTAGAAGTGTTTGGCTAACTTGGTCTGGGCCACTCGCCTTTTTTGCATCAATACAGGAATGGGGTCTTCAACTTCTTGTTAATAAAATATGACGCAGTGAGTTATTGTTTTGCTTAAGTTCAGTGAGTGGTACATTGTTGGAGTTCAACTGTGACTGGTTAATGAGCAAGTTCTTGATAAGTGGAGGTAGATCATTTGAAGGGTTATTCTGCTTTATCACATACCAGTTTACAAGCTGCCATCATTCTTTGTTACCAAAATTTTTAATTTCATTAATTTTCATATAAATGTTGTGAAAGTATTCCTTTTTACATTTTCTAATCAACGCTATATATTCGTTTTGCATTTTTCTAAACTTTTGCCAATCATTTACAGAATTCGACCGGGTTGCTCTTTTGTGAGCCTTGTTTATTCTTCTGCTCAAGTATCTGATAGTAACAATTTTGTTTTCAATGTTTCTTTCAGCAATTCTTATTAACTGTGAAAGATGTAGATGCTTTATCAATATCACTATTATCAACGAAGATACTCCAGTCTGTACTAACGTTATGCCGTATTTGGTCATAATTAGTGTCCTTACAGTTCTAAATAGTTCGTTTGAAAGATTTGAAGGTCAACCGTCAAATATACACGGTTATGGTCAGAAGAGACGTAATTTGAGCAATTCGTTTGTATAACGAGTTTTTGTTCCATTCGAATCGGTATGTGTTGGATCTAAAATAAGCTGTTGAAAATCAAATAAATGTATGGCATCTTGTAAGAAAGATTTAAGATTAGTAAAGAAGTCGATTTTAAAATCGCCAAAGATAAAAATATTCTTTATGTTTGAAACGGCTGGTAAAAAAAATGAGTCGACGCGTTTCTATAGATTAGCTACTTTTTCTAGCTCAGCTGAGTAGTATATGAGCTTATAGATTGTTCACACTTTCTCCCATTTCATTTGGGAAAGTTTGAACAATCAATAAGAATCTATAAGATCTCAAAAAAGACATCCATGCCCTACATTCCATCAATTCACAGCCTACATTTCATCATTAAATTAACTCATTTAAAAATAGGATGAGTTGAATTTTTAAACACTAACAACACAAATTCGAAGATTATTCAGGCGGCGGTATCTTTTCATCAATATTTTCTCTAGGTTCAAAAATAATACCAAAAGTAGGCAGATTTATTTCATACAATAAGTCCCTCATTTCCTCAGGTGCTAAAGTCATAGGATCTGTCGTGAAAGCGGAAAAGAGTATAAGTGACGCAGTGAACAGGTCTGGCGAGTTGAAAGAATTACAACTAATAAGAGAACTGTGAAACGGGAGATTAGAAGAAAAGAAAGAAAAAGGTTTTAAAATTATAGGATAAAAATGATAGTCGCACACAGTACTCTAATAAAACTTATTTTGGTTCAGATATACAAAAGTTATTGGGCTCTCTTCCTGGTTTTCCATGGGCAAAGTATCATTGAGAAAAACATCTTCCGGGTCATAATTATACTGGTCCAGGTAATAGGTTAGATCTACGATTAGACGAAAACGATAAACCCAGACCAGGTGAATGCCAGTCAATAGAGTTGATACTGCTCCACTTAAACATGATATTTTATACGGAAATAAAGACATAAAGTTTAGATACGAAGTAGACAAACATATGATAATCGGACTTGAAAATATTCCAAATCCAACATTCCAAGAGAAAATGGAAAGAGCGCTGATTATAAAACTGTTAAAAGCAAAGATGAAATTGGGTATGGGATTGGCAGTTGAAATTCATAAAGAATTTAGAAAAACCAAAAACTTTGAAAAACAAATCAGGTTTAACTATTAAACAAGCTTTTAAAACGATTATGAAATATGCTGATAGACCCCAAAAGTTAAGGGTAGATAAAGGAAGCGAATTTTATAATGAAAATATGAAATCACTTGGGTTTGAAATTCACAGTACTCTGGACGATGGAAAAGCTGTAGTAATAGAAAGATTTAACTTCTGTCTAAATGGGTTGCCAAATAAAGTTATTATTATTATTATTATTATTATTATTATCACACGACGCTTAAATAAAAACTGAACTAAAGTCTCAAAAATGGTTAAAGATTTTACCCACTGGAATTGGAATACAATAATAAAATTCATTCTTCCATCGGTGTTCTCCTCTGAAAGCTAGTCAAAATCCAGATATAAAGTTTTCTTCTACACTTCATAATTTCGAAAATGAAATAAAAGATATACACGTTAAGGAAAAGTTTAAAGTTGGAGATCGCGTTCGTATTTTCAAATATAAAAGTAAATTCGAAAAAGGTTACGTGGATACTGGACAAACGAAATATTCATCATTGATAAAGTAAACAGTACATCACCTCCGACATATGAATTAATCGATCACGACAAAGAACAAATCATAGGTAGGTTTTATCAAAACGAACTTCAAAAAACTGACTCGATAAATATGGAACTGATATAACCTTAAACTTTCAACTTATGAGATGAGTTAAATATATCACCGTTTTATTATTTCATGCGGGATGAAATAAATGATCTCAAGGATAAGAAAGATGAATTTTATGCTATAACAAATATACATACTTCCAATCAAAAAGGAGTTCACCACTCTGCTTCATACAAAGACTCTTCAAATAACTTATATTTTTTTGATTCTTTTGGATTAGAACCCACTGAAGAGATAGTGAAATTAACTAATAAACCAATCAAATGTTCTACATTTCAAATTCAAATACCGGGACAAACGTTTTGTGGACAACTTTCACTTAGGGTTTTATATCAGTTAATCTTGGGAAAACAACAGTTTAAAGAAATTATAATAAATTGAACTTAATAAAAATGGCGAACAAGTTAAGATTAGGTTCTTTACCTTTAAATACTAAAAAACCTAACACTACAGCATGGATAAATAAAGCAAAGCCTTACTTTGTGGATCAAATTGGATTTCGGGGAAGGGGGGTTTGATTCTCCCAAATGTACAGGCCAAGGGTGGAGCAGACACTTTATTTAGAAATTAGGATTAAGGGTCTTGATATAGGGTTTTCTTCTGTTCTAATTCTGATCTGAAATTAGAAAAAATAAGTATAGTATCTGTTATGTACTGATTGTTTTTAGTTTACTATGAACAATATTATCATTTAAGTTCTTATTTTTTGAATATGCAACTATCCTTTTCTGCTTATAGACATGTGCGAATTTCTCTTGAAGGCTCTTATAGTGGGCATGAACTATCTTGCTTGCTCGATTTCTTGATGTATTGAACGGGACAACAAAGGGTGCTATGCCTACATTATGATGAATATTTAGTCCTATAGGTCTTGCTGTATTCAATGTCTCTATCCAATGGGCTTCCCTAGATTGACGGAATTTGGTAGTTTCATCTTCGGGCAAGTCAATTTCTATACGCTCAATTGGAATTAGGGTGATATCGTCTATTGAATGGTCGTCAAGGTTGAAATGCTTAAAAACAGGCTTGTCTTTCTTTAATTTGATGTCTGACCTATGAGCATTAAAACGAGTTCGTAAATTATTCTTAGTTTCTCCTACATATTGTTTGGGGCATTTCTTGGATGAAATTAAATATATTACATTCGAATGTTCACATGTTAGATGTTCCTGGATCGGGTACCTTTTATTCGTAGAGTTGCTTGCAAAATAATGAGTTTCTGATATAATGGGACATGTTTTGCATCTACTGGACAAACATGGAGCACTTCTTAAACCTGGAGGTATTTCGGCATAAAGTCTGTTTTTAGCTGCTATCTGTGCTAAGGTGGAATTTTTTTATGTTTCGTAAAAATCGTTTAGAGTACCCACGCTCTTACAGTTTTGAGAAAACAATCGTACAGGCTTGGTTGAAATCAGAAGATCTTGTACAAATTCGATGAAATCGTGAAACTTGTGACTAAATTATACCAGAAAAGGTATGTTTTGGGTGAAAGGAGCTCTTGTGCAAGAGTTGATGAGTATCAGTTTCTTTGAAATACACTTTAATATCCAGTTTATTTGTTCCCAAAACTGTTCGATAGTATAAGTCCAAACCATAAAAATGTCATCCAAAAAGCGTCCGTAAAAAAGTGGGTCAAATGGACAGAGGGGCGACACCTCACGTTCCCACTCTGCCATGAAAAGGTTTGCGTACGAAGGGGCGAATCGTTTGCCCATTGCTGTCCCTGAAGTTTGTTAATATGTTTTACCATTAAATGTGAAATCGTTTTGACTAAGACAAAACTCTAAAAGCTGTAGAATTGCATCGTCGGGTCCGTTTGGTTTCTATTAAAAGCTTTACGAACTGCCGTTAGATCAGTAGTGTTATCGATATTGGTATACATAGAAGAAATGTCGATAGAAATTAAAATAGCATTAGAGGGAACTCGAAGATATTTTATCTTATTGACAAAATCTCAATTTTAAACCTTAAAAATGGCAAATAAAATATTAGATCCAATCTTTAGATTATACGATCCGATTCGTTATTCATTTAACAAGAAAAAAGAGGATTATATTATCATCTCTCCCACTGTTGGTTCTAAATCCCAATTGAATGATGGTGGTAGAATTACTTTCGAAATAAATTCATTATCGAATTGGTTGCTTCTTTCCGATGCTTATTTCAGATGCGATTTCAAAATCAAAGACGCCATTCAGAATCAAGTTCCACAAACAAATACAACGTTAGAAAACAATTTCTTTCCATCTTTATTTAGCGAGATGGTTTTGGAAGCTGGTTCAAATCCGATAGAAACAATCAAACATCCTGGGGAATTCGACACAATGTTGCAAACAGTTTTATATCCTAAAGATTTCGATTCAGTTTCAGGCTGGATACCCGATGTTGGTGATGGAAGTATTTTAAAGGAACCGGTAAGAAATATTGCAAATGATGCCGATTTAGCTAGAGTGAGAGCTGTTGCTCGAAACACAATAGAAAGAGTAGGACGAGTTGCTAATCATGGATTCGAAAAACGAGTACTTCAGTACAATAATGTTGTTGAGAATAATAGGTGGGGTAATTACGTAAATTGGAAATTATATCCTTTATTCGGTCTGTTGGAACATAGAAAAGTTTCCATAGGCTTACCATATAAAATTCATCTACAAAGAGAAATAAACGACGATAAGATATTCTTTGGTGAGAATGGTTCAGATGCAAAATTAGAAATAACGAATCTCCAACTTTTTATACCCGTAATAACACCATCAATTGAAGTAGAAACGAAAATATTCAACTCGTTAACTAAATATATTGAAATAGCTTTTCTTCATCGCAATACAGTGGGTAGCATGACTTTAATCATGACTTTGGGATCATTCGTTTTATCTCACAGTAAAAAAATAATGAACAATTTCATTCACGTCATAAATGGATTTTATAAACCCGAAATATGCTATACCGACACTGATAGTTTGTACATTTCCAAAAATTGGAAAAAAACTAAACAGAGCTAGTTTGGTCTCGAAAAAGACTATTGCAAAGGTAAAAACGATTACGGTGACGGTGGAATTATATTTGGTTTATATTTAGCACCAAAAGTCAAATACAACATCGTTTTGACTTCTGATGGTGTCTTAAAAGAAAAGAAAACGTTTAAAGGTTATTCTAATGATAAGATAAGTGTAGAAGATTACGTTCAGTTAGCAAGCGGACATGATGTGTCGAACAAATTTAATAAACCGTGGGAAAAAAGTTTCACCAATGGAGTAGTTATTCCAAATGATAAACAAACTAAAGTTTTTAGAAGTTATTTGAATAATGTTAAAAGAAAACCACCAAACAGTGAAAGGATTATGTATCCTTACAACGACAAAGATGAGTATAGTTTTGACGAAAACTATGAATTTGATGATTTCGATTATCTTACTATTCACCGTTGATCAAATTACAGTGAATGTTGATCACGTCGACATCGTTCTCGATGTTGGCCTTGTGCGACGCCAATGTCGATTGCGCGTATATTCGTTTATCGAACCCTAGTAACGCATTCAACGAATTTTCTACGTTGAAATCGACTTGACTGTTATTTCTCAAGATCAGTTTTATTTTGTTCAGATTCAAATTACTTTCGAATTCGATATTGTTTTTGCCGTTCACGCTTCCTGCGTATTCGGATAGGTAATCGTTGATGGCTACGTATTCGTAGCTCCCCGGTAGTAAGCTTATGGTTTCGAACGTAACTCCGTTATCCGTCGATATTTTTAGTTGATTGTTTTTTTCGTTGATGTTTCTAATGGAATTGTAAACGGAGAAATACTTTAATCCCAGTTCGTACTGTTTATTGCGATCGAGTTCATACTTGTAGTCTAGGGACAATTTGATGTCTGGTTTATTCGAGGTGATAACGAATAGTTGTTCTTTATTGGACATTTTTAATGACGTTTATATAGTCTTTTTTAGTGATGATTTCATTCTCCAAAAGTCGTTTTAATATGGCATTGACTTCGTTGTATTGTCTGTCCGATCGATGACCTTCTTTCATGGCCGCTAATATTATTTCTAATCTATTAAGCAATTCTTTATTGTCGTCGGATAAAAACGTTATGCCTTGTCCAGATGCCACCATATCATCGAATTCGTCTATTTCTTGTATGATTGGTGGATAATCTTCTGCATAATCGTCTGATTTCTCTTGTTATATAAAAATCAACTTCTTTCAATCTTCTTGTTTCGGGTCCTGACTTTCTTATTGCATGTAGAAATTTTGAGTATGCAACTAAATCCTTGTAATCGGCAATTTCAAAATCCTTACCATTCATTAAATCTATTAACCCTCTCGTTAATGTAAATATAAAGTCTTTTGTGTCGATTTTGAATAAAGGGGAATTTGGACTAAATATTATTCTAAATCCATTAAACAATAAACCTTGATTATCAACGTTTGGTGAAATGCTCTTTGGTAAATCTGGGTCAGGGTTTGAAAAAAGACGTTTTATATCATCTAATGTCCTAATTATAATACCATTATATTCAATCGGTTTGGGTTCTATATGAGGTGTGGGTTCTAAAGCTAATTTCTTTTTAATATCCTCTTGAGATTTTAATATGGGTTGAAATAGAGTCTGTAGATCTTCCGTTAATCCGAGTTGTTGTAATCTGTTATTTTCAACTTGGGTCTTTATTTTATTCTTAGCTTTGATATAATCTCTATTTCTTTTTAAAAAATTATTCCAATCCGTCATTTTAAAAAAAATAAAATTAACATATATCGATCATAACTCTTTCTCCCGCAGGTTTTCTAGTATTTACAAATACATATCCATGATCATCTGGGTTTCTCCATTGAGCTTTACAAACCTATTTAAATGTATCTCTGTCCATTCCGTGATTTATAGACTGAATGATTTGAGATAAATCTTTATTGTTTAATTCAAATAATAAAAAACAATTTGCATTTTTTCTAATGAACATAGAATCCATCCCGTAAAAAGATTGGGATTGGTATATGCAGTGACAGTTGTGATGTCTTCCTTTGGTGAAGAATTCTTGTTGAACAGTTTGATTTCTTTGCGCTACGCAGTCGTCAAACAATATTAAGTTCTTTCGATTGCTATCAATATTAGACAAGTCTAGATCATTAACATTTTTCGTAAGAAAAACTTTTATATCCGTTGGATTCTTTCCTTCGATGTAGTTATCTATGATATCTTTTATTTCCACTTCTTCGTTTTCTTCGTAATATTGAAATAGGTCTTGAACATCTTTCTTTGGTAAATATTCCAAAGCTTTGAGGAATTGATAATACGATTGCTCTGGTGTTGTTGTGTAGATATACAGAGAATCGAAATCTAAAAGGTTTGGTGTTGTCAACATGTTAAAAGTGAGATGAGTTTTCCCAGAACCTGAACTACCGCATATACACATGAGCATTGGGTTATTAGGAAATATTTCTGAATGATTAAATTTTTTGCCCATTTTTATTTATTACATTTTCGTACCAAAAATCACCCAGTTGCCTTTATACTTTGAAAGGAAGATTCCCTCGCCCGAACGTATGTTTTTAAAAAATATGGCGTCACCCTTGTGTTTGACCTTCATTTCTCCGGTGTCGATTTTATCTATTAATTTGCTTAATCCCTCTTTAATAGTTTTCTTGGTTTCTTCGCCAAATCTTTGTCCGAATTCTTTAACCGTCCCTAATATATCTCCTATTCCCGAACCTCCCCGTGCTTCTCTTTCCATTGCCAAATTGTGTCCACGTTCTTCAGCTTCTTTTACTGCAGCTGCTTTATTTGCGTTGGCAGCTTTGACTGCGGCAGATATTCCTCCAGTAGCTGCACCAGCTGCAGTTAAACCAGCAAAGATTAAAGGTAAGAAAGGTAAAAATCCACCTTTTTTAGTTAAATTCTCATCAATTCTTTCCAAGTCTATATCGTCTCTGACTTTGCAATGTTTGTATTTATCGATAATCTTTTGGGTTATATGTACTTTTTTACCGTTGTAAGTTATTAGAGTCGGTGAATTCGTTTCCATAGCTTCTATTATTTTCATAACTAAAGTTTCTGGTTTCATTTTTAAAGGGTGTTTATTTATTCAATTCTTATCATTCTTCTATCTGATATTTTAATCAAATGTTTTGCTTCTTCCAGCAATAAACAGTAGCCGGTCACATCTCCTTGTGTTTTATCGAAGTGAATATTTATGTTCACCCCTGTTTTGAAAAGATCTTCTTGATGACCTGACAGATCGAAACAAAAGATTGGATGATTGAGTGAAAAATCTGTGTATTCAACCTGAGGCGTATTTCCAAACAGTTCTGACCGGTTCTTTTAAAACTTCTCCGTCACCGACATCGGGAATCCATCCCGAAACTGAATCGTAGTTTTTGGGATAGAGAACCGTTTTCAACATTGTGTCAAACTCGCCGGGGTGTTTTATGGTCTCTATCGGATTTGAACCAGCTTCCAAAACCATTTCGCTGAATAAAGACGGAAAGAAGTTGTTTTCTAAAGTCGTGTTGGTTTGTGGAATTCGATTCTGAGCGGCGTCTTTGATTTTGAAATCGCATCTGAAATGGGCATTGGAAGGCAGCAACCAATTGGACAACGAATTAATTTCAAAGGTAACTCTTCCTCCGTCGTTTATTTGGGTCTTTGTCCCTACCGATGGTGAGATGATTACGTAATCCTCTTTCTTCTTGTTGAACGAATATTGAATCGGATCATATAATTGAAAGATTGGATCTAATCTGTAATTTTTACTTGCCATTTTTATCCAATGATTTTAAACCCTTTTCCTTGTTTTTCTAAGGCTTGTCTTTCTAGTCTCTTATTTCTTAGTTCTCTTATTAGCTGAAGTTCTTTAAGTTCGTTAGATTTTTTCACTGCATCGCTAATATTTACTCCTGCTTTTGCCACAGATCCAAGAGCTTGCGCTTCTGAGGAAATGAGGGATGAGAGATGTAAGCGCAGAGAAGAAACCGTCTCCTTCGAATTTTTTTTGTTCGTGTTTTAAAATTAAAGACAGTTTTAATGCGGTTATTTTTTACTGTATTATTTTTTAGTGATCTGTGGTTTTGGGTAATTTATATTGAGTCTGTTATAATACAGTTTGGAGGAGTTTGTTATAATACAGTTTGGGGAGTCTGTTATAATACATTTTAACAGTTTCGGGAGTCTGTTATAATACATTTTAACAGTTGTGTCTTTTCGAATATGACGCATTGAAAAAGCTGCGCATGCGCAGAAGTGAAATGCGTCATATCCGAAAAGACATATACTACTGAGATATGTATGGGTTATTCCTTTGAAAAACAAAACGGGATTATCAGTCAAACACTCATTTGAAACGATTATGAAACAATTTAACCGTCATCCAGAAAAACTATGGGTAGATAAAGGAAGTGAATTTTATAACAAAAATATGAAATCTCTGGGATTTGAAATTTACAGCACGCATAACGAAGGTAAAGCTGTAGTAATAGAAAGATTTAACAGGACTCTAAAAAATAAATTATTCAAAAAGTTCACGGAATTGAAATCTCAAAAATGGCTTAAAATATTACCAGAGGTTGTAGACGAATACAATAACAAAATTCATTCATCTATAGGTATCACACCAACACGAGCCTCGAGTAATCCAAATATTATAAAGTCAATTAACGCGCAACATAACTACGAAAATGAAAGAAAGAATTTAAATATCAAACCCAAATTTAAAGTTGGAGATCGAGTTCGTATTTTCAAATATAAAAGTAAATTCGAAAAAGGTTACGTTGGATACTGGACGAACGAAATATTCATCGTTGATAAAGTAAACACCACAGTACCTCCAACATATGAATTAATCGATCAAGACAAAGAACAAATCATAGGTAGGTTTTATCAAAACGAACTTCAGAAAACCGACTTTTAAAAATGAATGATGAAGAATTTGATAGAAGATTAAGAGATGTAGACAAGCATTTACGCTATAAAATTTTTTAAATTTAAATGCAAATTTATGTTCAAAATATTATTGAATGTGTTTTATCAGAATGTAATACAATTAATTTCAAACACAAACTACGTATATATTTCATCAATACTCCTCAAAAAACCAACTTTTAAAAATGAATGAATTTCTCGATAAATATGGAACCGATACAACCACAAACTTTCAACTTATGAAATTGAGTTAAATATATCACCGTTTTATTATTGCATGAGAGATGAAATAAATGATCTGAAATATAAGAAAGGTAAATTTTACGCTATAACAAATATACATAGTTCCGATCAAAAAGGAGTTCATCATTCTGCTTTGTACAAAGACTCTGACTTTTATTTCTTCGATTCTTATGGATTAGAACCCACTGAAGAGATAATCCAATTGACTAATAAACCAATCAAATGTTCAACATTTCAAATTCAATTACCGGGACAAAAGTTTTGTGGTCAGCTTTCACTTTGGGTTTTATATCAGTTGAGTTTAGGAAAACAGTTTGAAGAAATTGTAATAAATTTAACTCAATAAAAATGGCGAATAAGTTTGGATTAGGTTCTTTATCTTTAGAAACTAAAAAACCTAACACTACAGCGTGGATAAATAAAGCGAAACCTTACTTTGTGGATCAAATCGGAGACACTCTTCAAGGTGATTTAGATATGAACAATTTTAGCATAACTAATTTAAAGTCTCCGGAAAACGATAATGACGCCGTTCACAAGAAATATTTACGGGAACAAATAAATTCAATTGAAGTAAATAAAAACATTAATAGATAACATTCCAGATGAAAATGAAGATACGTTTCAACAGGAATTAAATGCTCTGGAAACTAAACTTAACAGTGAATTACAAAAAGAACTAACAAATATTAAAAAACAAATACAAAACATAGATGATAGCGAAATCAAAACCCATATTCAACAACAAATACAAAACATAGATGATAGCGAAATCAAAACCTATATTCATCAACAAATACAGAACATTGATGATAGTGTTATTCAACAACAGATAACCACTATTAATAACCTAGTTTTAAAACAGGATAAAAATATACTCGCATTAGGAAAAAAAGTTTCTCAAGAAAGAATCATATTATTTCAATCTTCCATTTGGAAATTTGACTCGTATTGACTTGTATTGATTTATCAATGGCACAAAAAATGTAGAAACTAAAGAATTAGAAATTAACGATGAAAACACCAAGAGAAATCACTCATATGAAATTAAATCGAGTGGAAAATATATAGATAGGTTTAGAATGTTAATCATACCAGATAATGAAGAAGAAGATCTTATATTTTCTCATTTTAATATGATATTGGAAACGGAAACTCCGCCATCAGTAAGTATTATTAGAAATCCAGAACCAGAAAAAAAAGATATAAGCATTTATCAGTTTTTACGAGCAACAAACTTTGAATACGTAAAACTATATTTTGTTAATAATGATGCATTTACCTCAATTGATATTCATAAAAGTCAACAAAATCAAAAAGTTTTGATACTACCAATAATAGATAGTGAGTTTCATGTTAGAATATCAATCTTTATTGAAAAACCAAAATTTTCAGTTCATCTGAATAAGATTAATGATTCGAAAGAACAAATATCATTAGTAACTGTAAAAGTTTTATTCAATTTTGCTTCTAGTCAAGAAACAGCTATATCAGAAATTCACTTAATTTAATTACCTAAAAATGGAACTCGAAAGTAGACAAAACTACATGATAGAAAAACAAAATGAACTAAAAGAAAAACTAAAACAATTCAACAAATGCAGAAAAACATGGAGTAAAATCGATTCTGTTTTCAAAACATTAAGTACAGATTTAACAATAGGGATAACAGTGGCAACAGCCGTAACCGGTGGATTAATGCTTCCAATAATCGTCCCAACTATATTAGCCGCATTCACTGCCGTACAAACTTCATCTTGTGGTTTGATTACTTTAGGTTTTACATCAAAACAGAAAGGAAAACAAAAATTTTAAATACATATCTTAATAAATTATTCATTTTTTTTCGAAAGATCGAGAGAGGATAAGAACATAACCATTGAAGAATTAGAAGAATTCAATGAAATTTTAGATAAATTTGATGTAGAAATATCATCAATGAAAGGTAAAAATTCCTAGTTAAAAATAGTTGCTTCAAAAATATGAATAAAATTGAAATTGTAGACGATAAAAAATTCATACCAGTGAAAATTTTAGACGATATTATTGACAAGATTATCTCTGATGAATTAAAAAATATGAAAAAAATTGATAAATTCATATCAAATGAACTTTTTTCCGATGTTATTCACCTTATCTCTGATGAATTTATAACATTTAAAGGGCAAATTGAAATAGTTGGAGAGATAACTCAAGATGGAAAATACAAACAAGACATGAAATTTGTAGGTTTTAATACCAACACTTTTGTCAATTTCTTCGCTGCAGTGGATGAAAAATCGGATGCCTCCGATTGGTATTTCACAGGAAAAATGATTTTCCATAAAAATAATTTCAAAGAAATAAAAAGATCAAAAAAGGGTAGTGGTGTTAGCCTACTCAAAAAGATAAAAGAATATATCGGTATAAATTGTTATATACCGAGCGATGGATGCTGCTTTGTAAAGTGCGTTAATCGTGTTTTAAACGAAGACTACACGAGAGAATTTCAAGATTTCATCAACAGTTTTCAAAAATCAAACAGAAAAGGAGTTATGACAACTGCTAGAATCTGCGAATTCAATAAGAAATTTAATACTAATTTTCAAATATATATGCCCAAACATAGACATTTTCAACCAAAGAAAGTAACCGAAGAATTAGATTGGGTTTTTTATTTACACAAAGAACATTTCTGTCTCATTAAAAGAAATAACAAAGCTTTGGGCATTAAAGAAATAGAAGATAATTACGATGAAAACGTATGGAGAACTTGTGAAGATGATAATGCGGTAACGCAAGTTTCACTTCTAAAACTAAACGTTTTTCCAACCATTCCCGATTATGT